GGGGCGATATGTGTGTGCCTCATTCCTTTGGATTGTCTCGGAAGAACAGGACGGCGCAGCGGACTGAATGCGGTAGGATTTATCGAGATGTGTTCAACACACCAAAACCCACACCGGACATGGATGAATGAATCAACAATCAACGTACATAGCCCTTGGAGACCAGCATACACAGCGGAGAGGGTACATGGTGCTTCGCCAAACCCTCACACCACCCGGGGTCTCACAGGAGAAGGCCGAGGAACGACCAAGCAAGAGAGCGCCCGCCGCCGCGGCCAAAAAGTTGTCATATTTTTTTGTGTACCCCCCGCCCTCACCTTGCCAAGATGTGTGATGTTGAACTTTGCGATGGACCATAGAAGTAAACACTGGGGGCTTCACGCTCGCCGGCATCCTTGCACGTTCGGTAAGAATCCGAGGTGTTAGCGCGTCCGCTCTCTCTTTCCTTCCCTTCACGCTGTCTCCTTGTTTCCCGAGGGATTTCGGCTCTACAAGATCATAGAGAGGGACAAACTTCTGGCGACTGGGGACTCCGCGAAGCGAAGCTTAAGCGGGGGGGGCACGACGTGGAATATTCCGAAAAAAGACGTGGTGGGGTACCATTGGTCACGTAAGATACCATACCTCCTTGGGACCAATTTTAGGCTCCTCTCGGTAACGATTTCTCAATTCGGTAACGATTGGTACGGGAATGAGCGGACACGGTGGTAACTGGCCATCATAGTAACGTTTGGGTGGAAACTGGCCACCACGGTATTGCACGAAAATATTTGGGTGGTAATCGCCCAGCACGGTAACTCCCGTACGGGAACTAGCCGCCACGGGAATGCACGGTAATATTTGGGTGGTAACTCGGCACCACGGTAATACCGCGGTAATGCACGGTAACGTAGGATGGAAACAATTCACAAAGCGATGCACTGTAACTGCTGTGTTGCGCTTCTTTTTAGTGCGCGTGACACCCAAACAGCGCGTTCCACAAAGTAAGAACAGAGGAACACAGGAGGAGGAATGGAACCTATCTATCGCATTTCGTTTTTCAATTGTTTTGAAACTAGTAGTATACAGACGAAAATCTCGCGGTCGAGTTACCGAAAGACGAGGCAAAGACAAAGGAGAAGACAAACGAACTACATCATCAGTACGTCCAGAGCGACACCTCGAAATATCCATCACTTGATCATTGATCACTAGACTACTAGTCTAGCATGTCTCAGCTACGTGAGGACTGAACGCACCAAACGTTGTTGTTGTTGTTGTTGTTTCTCACATTAGCTCTATAGTCCACAAAAAATGGGGAGCCCGTGGTCTCAATACCCGGCACATACGACGCCGCGAGAAAACAAAAAACAAAAATAGGATACAAACCACTCGGAAAAAGAAAACAAAATGATCGAAAGAAAGAAAAGAACAGGTATCGCACCTACTGTTCGAGAAAAGAGCCCTCGGACACCGATCAAAATAAAACAAAACAAAAATAACAAAAAAAA